ATTAAAGATCCCCACTAAGAGATGGGAACAGCAAAGCAAGTCTGAGAGTGTCAGCAGTAAGAAGGTAGTAATCCCTCAAAGAGGGGGCCCTATGGCTTTTTACAGGGGCCGTTTGACTATGAAACAGTGTTTCCTACTAACTTTGCAGCTGGCTTTCTATGTGTCTATTCTCCGAGCCTGGCTAATTGCAAGCCTGCCTTTCTCTCTTTTCTGTCCAAGCCTATTGTCACTCTTTCTGCTGGAGACAGGCTTTGACTCTTTCACAGATGTAAGTATTAAATAATCTCCTCTTAATCAAGCTGTAGAAAGGGACATTCCCAAAAATCTAAGCGAAACAGGCCAAAAATAAAATATTCTCTTGTATTTAAAACCGTTTCAAAAAAAAAAAAGTTTTAAACTAGCTGACCCACAACCCTAATCCAATCTGTACTTCCTCAGTGCTGTGAGCGAAACTTTAGCCCAGTACACAGGCCACTGGATAATCATAGTTGTTTTATTTCTCTGTCTCCTGGCCAACACTCTACACCCCTAAAGAGCAAGAGCAGTGAAGTACTCATTTTATGCCTGGTGACTTGCTCAGTTCCCAGCACATCATAAGTGCTCTGAAGTCAAGCTTCCAGCTCTTCCCCTCTGTATATAATGTGTGCCAAGGCCCCTTACACAGTAAAACAGACTTCACACTCTAAATAGCTATTTAAGAATGCCATTATATAAAGGATTCACAACACGGATGAGACATGGGGCAGGGGAATAAACAGCAGGATCTACAACTCTAGGTCAAAGCAAAAAGAAGCTTTTATTTGAAGGATCTACACATGGCTTTGCTGCTACATGATAAAGCCAGAAGCATGAGAAATAAACAGCTCAATGCAAACCATATCTACTAAACTGAATTGCTTATTATGCCATACTAGAGATGTTCATCCACCTATTTTTCCAGCAAGACTATGAATTCCTGGAGGTGAAAGTTCATACGTGTCTTGTTCATTTTGTTTACCTTGCCCACTCTACTGCACATTCAATCACATGGAGGCAAAGCGGATAATGTAGAAAAACAAGAAGAAAGGAAGCAGAAATCACATTCAGTTAAAGCACACGGGTAAGAGCCAAGTGAGGGCTGGTAAAGGTATCACACATGCAGAATCAGAGCACTCCCGCAGATTGCCTGAGGTTAAGGGGAGAGAGAGGAGCTGGTAAGTCAATTTGGAATATGGAAACATAGAATGAGATCTGACGTTGAGCTGAGAGAAGCAGAGAGAGGGCTGGGAAGTCATGCATAAGGAGATGAGCTACCAAGGTCAGAAGCTGAGAAGACTCTTGTGATTAAAACCCCCACTGACATGGGGCAGACAAGAAGACAGATGAAAATAGAGCTATACAAAATAACTGAGGAGTGGAGGTAAGAGCACGGGGCAGTCTAGGAGATCTCTTTACTCAGATATTAGTAAAAGCAGGACCTGTGTATAGAGAGACAAGGGGCAGTCTGCTCTGAGCCCACAACGCTGCCCTGACTTTGAAGCAGGTGCAAACCAACACAGAGTCACCTTATTCCTCAGCTTTCTTTTTCTTCTCTCCTTTTTGTTCCCCTCCCTCTATTTTTCTCCTTCCCCACCCCCAGTTTCCTCCTGCTGCCCAAAGCATTAGCCAAATAAAGCATGTGCTTCTTTCAGGTTAATGGAAAAGGTCCATTACAGGACCTTTGTCCCCATGATAGGGCCACAAAGAGGAAGGGGAATAGAACCAGCTGTCCTTTCAGTGTGTCTTCAAAAACGAGCCTCCTGGAACAGAAAAGGAATGACACAAACCACAAAACAACTTTGAATGTCCAGGTGGCATGCACATTCTAGTCACTGTGACCCGCAGTCGGCAAGTTGGGACCATCCTGTCTAAATTATTAACTATCTAAAGAGCAACTAGACCATATCATGGACCTGAGTGGAGGTGCTCTGAGAGAAGAAAAGGAATGCTGACCCCCACCACTCACTGGGGGTTCCCAGACACAGAGGCTAGGACTCAATGCTACACGTTCTGCATAAAAATACAAAGGTCAAGGGCATAAAGAAAAATCACAATTTATAATAATGATATGTTCATAATAAATAATAATTTTAAAATGTAAAAGTCTTTCTACAGCAATATATACTGTGAATAATTAGAATTAATATGCTTTAAGCAACTAGGAAAATTGAATCATGTACACTGGTGTGGTAGCTTTCACTATGTAGACCCATCACTGAAAACTCAAACTGTATGAAATTACCTCAGATTTGAGGGAAATGCCCACAGTTCTGGTAAATAAGTAATTTTACTCACCTTTCTTAATGATTCATCTTGGAATACACCTTTTTTGTGCAACTACTGCTCTGAAACTTCCCCCCGAAACAACTTTAAACCCTTCAACCCTGTGTATTCATGTTCCAAATCTACTTCAAAATGAATTCTCTGATGCTGTCCTCTTATATGTCATCGTACTGCAAAAAATACCAGTCGTCAGTAGTACTCAACAAGGTGTGCGGTCTTTTCTCGGTGACACTAATGTTGAAAGGAAATCCCAGCTTAGATCAAGAAAATTGAATCTCTCATTTTTGTGAGAGGCCAGTGTCTACCAAGTCTGTTCTCAAACTCTGAGCACAAATAGTCCTCTCACTTATAAACTCGTTTAATTCCAAAAGTCTGATTATAAATCAGGTGTGGGAAAGAGAGAGGTGGTTCCCCACAGAAAGAATTACATACACAATAGGTAGGTTCTCAGGGCAGCCTACAAAAGCCTTTTTTACTCATGCTCTACCTAAAACAGCAGTAATAATAGCATAGAACCAACCGNTGAGAGGCCAGTGTCTACCAAGTCTGTTCTCAAACTCTGAGCACAAATAGTCCTCTCACTTATAAACTCGTTTAATTCCAAAAGTCTGATTATAAATCAGGTGTGGGAAAGAGAGAGGTGGTTCCCCACAGAAAGAATTACATACACAATAGGTAGGTTCTCAGGGCAGCCTACAAAAGCCTTTTTTACTCATGCTCTACCTAAAACAGCAGTAATAATAGCATAGAACCAACCGTCAAAGTGATATTTCAATGGAAAAATGCTTTCCAAGTTCTCTTTTGGGATGTCGGGAACCCAAAAACTCCCTTTCTGGCAATGAAAGTAGGGGCTCCCCTTGCTCAAAGCAGGCTTTAAGGTGAAGGCCGCGATGTGGACTGTGGAAAAGAGGGTCTCCGTGTTGAAGATCGAGAACGGGAATGTGAAGTGAGGGGAGGAAACACATGCTTGTCTAGACTGAGGGGAAAGGTTGGGGCGAGAGGACTCCAGCGAGCAAGTGGGAGAGCGAGCTTGGGTGATTGGGGGGCGTGCTGAAGAGTCCGGGCAAGCAGTTTCTCATTCTGCTTCTTTCATCCCCTTTGGAAGGTTTTGAGGGAAAGGACTGAAAAGAAATGCAATCTACAGCAGGGTGGTAAGAGGAAAAGAGTAAGCAGGAGGGTGTCGCCAGTAAGAAGTAGGGTGGAAGAGACACAGCCTTTTATTTGAAGATAAGGGACAGATTGTTCACACGTGAGATGTGCATTCATAAAGCAGAACCTTGTGTGTGTGGCTCGTGCATAGGCTCATGTCAAAAAAAGCATGGTTACTGTCCCCAAAGTGGAAGAACAATTTGCAAATTAAATTAACTAGCATCCTTGTGATTGTTTCTGTTATTAAGAATAATCTTTTAAGAAAAAAAAGTATATTCAATAAATTTATTGCACACCTGTTGCGATTCATTAGGTATGATGTCCTCATCAAAGACACTAGAATCCAGTGTAAAGATACTGTGCTCACAGTTTTTAAGAATTCACACATCTCGAATTCTATTGCAGAAATCCAGGTTCTGTCACCAATGTCGTGCAAGGTAGCCTACTTCAGGCAGGTGTTCAGTCACACCCAGAACTAGTTTACTAATCTGTTCTTTATTACTACTTGCTACAGATATTACTAGTGGTCATTCTTCAGCTGTAACGTAAGCACAACCTGAAAAATGTCTACCTTTGTCTACTTTAGACTACAAAGCTTATCACTTTCACAATCAATTTGACACACATTGAAAATAAAAAATACAAACAGAAACATTAATTATTTTAAACAATACCTGGGAATGGTACCTCTTTCCACAAATTATTTGAATCATGAATTTAACCTCACATTCTTCAAATACTGCACACTTGGAATTTTTTACATGATTTTTTTTCTAGAGGGACCTATTTGGTCCTGCTGTGCATGAACACGTGAGAGGAAATGATGAGTTGAAGGAGAGTTTCTCTGCGACTCTGGACTAAAAGTGAGGGAAACTACTTTTTCTGTCTGCCACCTCTTCACCAGCAGAACTCACCCAACAGAAGTGCTTGTTTATGTGGGATTAAAATGTGAACAGTGGCAGTCTGGGCTGGTGAAGAGTCCCAGTCTGGGTCTAACTACAATTTTTTCTGTCTCACTGGGACATCTAAGGCTGTTGCCTTAGCTTTGTTTTTAATCTATTTTTGTCATCCACAAAATAAGGAATACTTCCTACAGAATAGTTGAAAATTCCACTAGGGTTTCAGAAGCCATGTGGAATGTGGTGTTCTGAATATCTATTTCACAAGACTTGATTTTACTTTCACTTTAATACCAGTTAAAATGGAGGGGTTTTCCTGGTGTCAAAGAAAGTCCAACATGACATCCACTCATCTCTTAAAATCCTCATGGCAGCGATCCTGGTTATTTCACGCACTGAACTGTCAGAAGCAAGTTAGCATGGGAGAATGTAGTTTTGGTAAAGATGTATGTAACAGTGCTCAGAATCTTCCCATGTGGCAGAGAAAAATCTATGGATTTCAGCCAAAGAACATGTAACTAGAAAATAGGAAAATAAGAATATGTTGCATCTAACCCTTCATGTCTTAGGACACCTATTCAGTCTCTTCATTCCTGACAATGATCCAAAGAAAGGGTTATCTTTGCCTTAAAACATTATGCTCCATATATATATACTAGAGAACTTATAATTAGTATGCTGTCCAAATCTCTAAGAAACACCATAAGAAACAACAACCAAAAAAAATGGTACTGTTATTTATTTGAACCTTAAAAACAGTATTTGCATTACCTTTGTATGAACAGCTTCCATTGGTCTTTTCTTGATTTCTCCTATGTCCAAGTAACTGGGGGGAAAAAAACAATAAGCATTGCTTTTACAGGTTTTAAATGTTATGCAAATTTCTTTTTAAATATTATTTAAAAGTAAAGCTAGACATAGGAAATACTTAAACCTAAAGCAAAATGTAACAGCTACTAATTAAAAGCAATTGTAGTAGTAAGAACTGCTTTCACCATCACCAACCAGAGCTGACACGTCTACCTTGAACTTCAAGAGAATTGAAGTTTTAGAAATACGTTCTTCTATTAGGTAACATTTTTTCCCTAATAGTTAGCTACTCACTACAGGTATCTTTCACCATCACCAACCAGAGCTGACACGTCTACCTTGAACTTCAAGAGAATTGAAGTTTTGGAAATACGTTCTTCTATTAGGTAACATTTTTTCCCTAATAGTTAGCTACTCACTACAGGTACTGTATTTCAAATTCTTATGTGAATTTGATGAAAAGAGTGGTTTGTGTGTGGAGCTGCTTAATAGTTCCATGAATTGCAGACTTTAGGTCAAAGGAAGTACTGACAGCGCGCATTAGTGCAACAACTGGGAAAAGCTGGGAAATTGTTTTCCCTGTGAGAGCACTTTAACGATACAGAAATTCTCAGCCACGTGGGATGGCTTAGGTATTGGTTCAGCTAAGAGACAGATGGGTGGACTAGTTAACCTCTGGAGATCCCTGTTATTCCATTACTGTTTGCTACAGATATTAACTAATGATCATTCTTTGGCTACTGCATAAGCACAACCTGAAAACTTTATTCCTTTATTAACGTCAAGCTGTAAGTCCATTACTGTGATGTGGTTCCAGCTTAACATGGTGCTTTAAAACTGTGCTTTATGCATGAAAGGTTCTAAATAAACATTTTAATAGTAAAAAGTATAAATCTAACATTTAATTTATAACCATAGATAGATAGATCCTTTACCACAACTACTGTAATTGAAGAGTTGCCAAAAACAGTTTATATTAGAATTAATTCTGGATATTGAAATGTTTTTGTTGTTGTTGTTTGCTTTTTGAGATAGAATTCTTTAGATAATTGAAACCTCTAAATATTATCATGTATTTCTCCTATGTAACAGTAGTTACGTAAGACAATGTAAACTCTCCCTCTGTATTAGCAATAAAATGGGTTCTTGGTGAATCTGCAGGGACTAGTTTTTAATGAAATATCAAAATATTCTGTCATGTGCAGGAAAGTGATCTCAGATTTACAATATTAATGTAGTAGGGTCAACTTCCAAAACTGTATAAGGAAAGTTGTGGGGACGGGGAAGAGTTAGTAGCTGGGGAATGGGTAAGGGGAAGTAAAAGAAAAAGTAAAAGAAAAAAATAGAAAAAAGAAAAAAATGAATAAAGTTTTGGGGAAAATAATCTCTAGAATTCTCTGCTATAAAATAAAGGTTTAATAGCTACCTAAAGCTTAGTTATGGTTTCGAAAATATTTTTAAAAGTCTAAGCGAAAGAAATTCAATCAGGAATTTGATCATTTCCATTTAAAAAATATTTTGCTGTCTTCCCCATCATCATTTAGGGTCTAAACGAAAGCCCATGAATTACCCTCAATACATTTTGGAGTTTCTTTTGTTCTTCCAGTTACTTCATTTGTTATATAAACTTACAAGTGCTAAGCTTCAAATATATTCAGCATGTAAATACTAAATCTTCTTGGCTTGTATCAATTATAACCATAGATACTACTACTTCAACATAAACAAAATAAATCAGTCATCTGTCAGCATGGAAAACTAACCATGTATACTCTTTTATAATAAACTCAGGTTTTTGTGTGTGAATTAAAAGCAAAAAAAATGCAAATCTGACATATACATACACATGTACATATACAGAGTGATTTGAAGTGCACTTTCTATTTGGTTTGAAACTATCTTTTTTATCTTGTGAGATGGGTAGTGTGAATAAACAAAAGAAAACATGAATTGCTAAAGTGAATCTAAAATAGTCAGCTGTTCATAGATTTTGAACCAGACTGTCATTCCCATAAAATTGGAAATAATTTAATAAAATGTGGAAATAATTTAATAAATAATAATTTAAATAATTTAATAAAAAATAAAGTATATAATAAAAGGGATTGAACATAGAGATGCTTTATGTTTATATAGCACTTCGGTGTCTACGAAGCACATTCAACAGCCACACCATGTACTTTTCACAGCACCCTGTTGAGGTGGGATTGGTTATGTTCTTTTTCTGTATTAGGAAGCTGACTAGCTGAGTTAAGTGACTTGCCCAAGGACAGAGAGCTAATAAACAGCTCAGTCTCAAGTCTCCTGGCTGTAAATTCTAGCTTTCTTTTGAACACACAGCTTAAGTTCATTTAGCTCTTTTCTATAAAGTTAAACAAAGCATACTTAAGGGAGGCTTCAGGGAAGGGAAAAATAAATCCAAATGTATCCCTCACCTTCCATACAAAGAACATCTGGCATAACAAGAAGTAGAATGCCTAGAACTCAATTTAAACAAACTTAGGAAAGGAAGGATGATTCTAGAGAACTTTAATGATATTTGGAAAAATATTCCTATTCAATTAAAAATATAATTCACAAGCATAGATTTATGGTAAAGATTTTTTTTTCTATCCTGGGACCCAAGATGAATTTCAATTAAAACATCATTCCATGAAAAACTATGGAATTTTGAGTTACCATATGATCCCAGCAGTTTCACTCCTAGGTATATACCCAAGAGAAATGAACATGTGTTCACAATTTTTCACAGAAACATTATTCATAATAACCAAAAAGTGAAGCAACTCAAATATCCATCAACTGCTTAACAGATAAACAAAATGTGACATGAAATATTATTCAGCAATAAAAAGAACGAAGTGCTAAGTCATGCTACAACATGGATGACCTTGAAGATATTATAGTAAGTGAAATAAACCAGACACAAATTGCCACATATTATATGATTCCATTTATATGAAATATCCAGACTAGACAGAAAATAGATTAGTGGTTACCAGATGACAGAAGGAAGGGGAAATTTGTAGGTACAGGTTTCTTTCAGGGATGATGGAAATATTCTGAAATTAGTTTGTGGGGATGGTTGCACAACCTCTGTGAATATATTGAAAACCACCAAAATGGGTGGATTTATGTTATGTGAAAGATATCTCAATAAAGCTGTACAAAAAAAAAAAACTATGATATATAAATTTTTTTTAAAAACTTATGGAATATAAAATTCTACCTGTCCAATAATGCCCACCCCCACCAACTCTCAACTCCCGCATAACTTTATTTTTCTACTCGCACTTCACATTAAAATTATTGGTGTGCAGAAGCTCTAAAGATAAAATGTCATGTTCATTCATCTTTGTTCCCATCACAGACCTAAGCACAGTTTGCAAATTCACAGAACATGCTGCCAGGAAGTGTGGAAAAGCGACCCTTGTCCTTGAAGGGCTAACCATCAGGCTGCTGGAGTCACACATGTAGACAAATACAGTAAACCAATAAACTTTTCCAAGCATTATGCTAACAGGAGAAACACGCGGGCGGTGGGAGGAGGGTCACAAAAGAGGGGCGTTGTCAATTTTACTTGGAATGAAAGGTTGAAAGAATTTAAACAGTGGAGGAAAACGCAGAACAGTTTTCTCCTCGGGTGATAATTTAGTATCCAATACCTGGAAGCAATTTTAAAGAAATCTTTATTTAAACTAAAAGGATGAGTTCCAAGAAAAAATAAAGGAGGGGGAGGAGCCAAAGAAATTGCAAAAGTATCCGTTTGGTTACTAACCATACAAGGATACTTTTTAAAAGATTTATGTTATGTACAAATTTCAAGTCTGTTCCTACTACCCAAGTGAAATTCCTTCCACAGTCAGTTTCAACCTCTACCCCCAACTGCAACGGGAGTCTTGAGCGGCATGGCACCGCGAAGTCACAGCCCCTCAACCCACTTGAGGTGTGTGTGGGGATGGGGTCATTGCTTTCTCATGTCAACCACACACCGTAGTGCATGCACCCTGAAATGCTGGGCGGTGGGGCAGACCAACTCACTTGAGTTTCTTGAAGGCTTCCTGGCCCCCAGCCACGTAGTTGCCCCCGCTCTGGATCTGGTCTAGCTTCCGGATGCGGTGGCCGGTCCGCGGGGTGTAGATGTTCCTGACGGCCCCAAAAGGCGCCTGAACGCCGCCCGTCACCTCCTTCAGAAAGACGTCGAAGCTGGACACCTTCTTCTCGTGGATGACGACGCGGCGCCCCGCGAAGAAAGGGTCCCCGTTGCGGTACACCAGCACGCTCTTCACGACCGGCTGAGACAGGTGGCTGGACTTGGCGCCGGTGCCACTCATCTTCCCCACGGGACGCCGCCCCAGCTCGCTGCTCAGGCGGAGGCACCTGCGCTGCCCCAGAGGCCTCAGCGCACACAGCGCAGGATCGCGTCCTGAAACAAATGGGACACTGACAACCCCACAGGTAAAAGAGGAGTGACGGCCGTGCGCCTGGTGTCCACCCAGCGGAGACACTGCACGCTGCAGGCCTCACGGTGGACGTTCGAGTATTTCACCAGGGTCTGCACGACCAATCAGCGCTCGCGGTGCGCGCACACCTGTCTCACATGCTACCTGCGGAATCAAGGTGTACCACCCCGGAACGCGAGCCCCGCGAGGGGCTTTAACCAGGCCAGCCCAGCGAAGGCAGAAGGGAGAGAGGTGGGAACGTACCCACACACTATCAATATGGTGAAACCCAGTTTCTAACGTCATATCTGCTACTCTTTCCGAACAGTTTAAATTCTTTTCTTCTCCTGCTTGCTCCCAAATTAAAGAAATTAAGATCCTGGCTGGAGTTGCCCAGATTTTTCTTTACTGAAAAATAAATGCCTAAAGTGCATTGAGAGAGACAGACAAGGGGCGCGTGTCCAGAACCCCTCGCCCCGTCCCTGATGACCAGCGCCGCCCAGTGGCGAGGCTCCGGTGGGGGCATCATTTGAACACAGCGGACAGCGGCGCGCAACTGAGTCCCGGGGGGCAAAGGTGGGGGGCGGGGAGCAATCGGTGGGGTCTCTGGAGAGGCGCCCACACGGTGGTACCTACCGACACTGGAGGGCTGGTGAGGGGAGGGGGCGGCGGGGGCGGGA